GTAAGACCAGCGGCCATGGCCCCGGCAGGCACCCACGCTCCCTCTGCACGCTGCCTGCGCCCTGTCTAGCTGCACAGGCTGCTGACACGATGCACGAGGGGCCTGGTGCTCCCTGCCTGAGACCCCCTTGTGTTTTATGCACGGGGGGCTCAGCTTGTCCTGCTGATGGGTAGCGCTGGGCAAGGTTAGTCCTGGGGTGGGGGCGGTCTGGGCGCTGCACGTCTGTGGGCACACGGCTGCACGTGCTGGAGGAGCAGGTGCGTCGCTCACTGCTGCGTGGCAGCGAGGGCTGAGGCATGGTCTGGGCTGGGTGTCACAGGGCTGGAGGGCAGCGGTCAAGGACGGTCCACACTCCAGAGGAGATGGGCTGTGCAAGTTCGTTAGCAGTCGCTCGGGGCGCAGCATTGTACGTTGCTGCATGCTTGGGCATCATGCCTTGTTGCCGTCCAGGCAGAGGGGTCAGCAAGGCCGGGGCAGGTCAGTGCGCCTCCTTCCCTTGCCTTCTGGCGCCAGCTCTGCTGCTTTAGGGCCTCGGTTTTAATGCCCCGGTCTGGAAAATAGTTTCCCTTTGTTGCGAAGAGGTGCGGGGACTGGCTGGGCCAGGGAGATGAGCACTGTCAGAGCTGCCTGAGGCTGGCAGGAGAGGAGGCTGGATGCATGCTGGCATGCACCCCCTGCATTCGTGGGGGCTGAGCCGGACACCGCTGGGGCCTGCGACCCTGGGAGTCCGTGAGCTGCCAGGGGCATGAAGCCTCTCCAAAATCCTGCTCCATGGCAGGGAGCGGGGTGCAAGGGGCTTTTCCAACAGGTGATTTGTTAATCTGTCGGTGCTTGTTTCAGAGGGGCGAGAAGAGGCAGTTTCTTAGGGTTTCGCTGAGCTGCCTCTGCCCGGCTGGAGCTGCCTCGGGGCTGGCTGGGGAGCAGGCCATGAAGCCACAGGATTGTGGGGGCTGCGGAGCGAAGGGGGCTTTGCTGGGTGCTGCCGGGCTGAGCCCCCCGCACATGTACAGCCGGGGATTGGGGTGAGAGCTCTTACCCGCTCGCGTTTGCTCTCAACAAACCCTGGAGACCCGGGGGCTGCCTGCGCCGCTCCAACGCCTAGAAAAGGGTACCGGGCATTGCAACGGGCAAAGGGAACGGAGGACCAGAGAGGCCGGTGCCGGCCCTGGACAGGAGGGTGGAGCAGCTAACGTGGGACCCCGTCAGCTGAGAGAGACCCCGTGTCTGTCCACGTGACTCCGGTGGAGCCCGTCTCATTGCACCAGCCTTGGAGGGGGTGACCGCAGGCTCGCTGACGGGTCTGGTAGCACGTGCAGATGGGGAGAGTGCAGCTGGTGGGTCTCCCACAGCCCAGCCCCAGGCCGGCCGCTCCTAGGCCCAGCTTGTCGGCGTCCTCATCAGTGACCGGGCAATGCCAGAGCTTTGCTGGTGATGGTTTCAGATGGCGTTGTGGGGGGTAACGCGATGGTAGGTGCTTGTGGGGGCTGCAGCCAGGGCCGAGGAGAGGAACCGGCTCGAGGCTGTGGGAGCCCGGTCCACCCTGCTTCTCTGGAGGAGGCCCGTCAGTGCCGCCCGCAGTGGCCTCAGCGGGTGCAGACGACGGCATCCGCAGCCAGTCTTGAAAGTGCAGTTTCCTGGCAGCACGGGTGACGCTGTCGCAGCAGGCGCACAGGGCAGGGGCTCCATGCAGGCCGGGGTCTGCAGAGAGATGAGACCTCTCCTTGGTGCCTGCCCAGCCCAGGAGGAGCGCCCAGGCCTCCCTGCATGGGTGGGGGAAGGTGAGAGCCCCTCTGGCCCTGGGTGCTGGAGCTGAGCTCTTCCCTTCCTGGGGCGGGATCGCTGCATCGACATCTGCTCGCCAGAACATGCACGACTTGCCTCAAGGCGACGTGTCATCAGGGCTGCATGGGTCGGGGGGATTTGTCCCGTGATGCACAGCTGTCCAGATGTGTTGTGTGTGTGCATATGTTCACACCTGTGTGCACATGTTTCTCACCTTACTCTGGCACACTGGGGCCAAGGCACCGGGTGAGGTGGCCCAATCCTCCGAGGTGGTGAGGGTCTCCTGCCTCCTGGCTGAGGTCTGGGCTGGTGCCTGCTCCCATGGCTGGACCTTGCGTTGGGCAGAAGTCCCCCAAAACCAGATTTGGGCCTGGAGGGAAGCTGTGGGAGGACTGGGCTGCAGTGGGAGGCTCTGGGAGGACTTTTGGGAGCTTTCTGGAGCGCATGGGCCTCACTGTGCTTCCCCCTTGGGCCTGTCAGGCACACTGGCGTTGCATCGCCATCCTCCTCCTTCATTCTGCAGCTTTCGCATTCTTCCAGCATCGTGGTTTTTTCCATGGAGTGAGACAGGGAAGAAAATCCAGGCAGGGACAAGACTCGCTGAGCCCAAGCACTGGGTCTATTAACAGTTTTTAGATCTAATTAAATGCAAATAACTAGCATTAATGCCGCATTAAGGCTGAGCAATCAAGCCCTTAAAAGTCAGGAAATTCCCCAAGTGAAGGTGCCTGCCCTGCGTTACCTCCGCTGCTCTGCACTTCTTGCTGGTGTGTTAACCACGAGCCGCGCCGCCTGCCGGGGCCATGAACAGCTGGCGCGTCGGCATCGCGCTCCATGCCCAGGAAGACGGGGAGGGGTCCTCCACCCTCCCCCTCTGCCATCCTCCCTCGTGCCCCAGCCGTGCCCTGGGCCGAGCCGAGCTGTGGGGGTGCCACCCAAGCTGCAGGGCCTGGTCTCTGATGAGGCGTAACCACGACAAGCTGGCTCCACGTGGACCCTGCGGTCAATGGACCCCTGGGCAGGCCCGGCATGGCCCCACGTGACCGACAGACAAGCCCCCGTGACATTTGAGACCCCGTCTGCACAGGACGTGTCCCCCGGAGCCAGGGAGCACCAGGATGCAGGTGCCCCGAGCAGCCGCACTGCAGACCCCGGGCCCTTGCAGCGTGGTCCTGGCTCCCACAACTGTGCTGGGGTCTCGTGGCCAAGCCCAGCCTCATCCCTTGACGTTCCCATTCGCCTCCGTACTCAGTGCATCCCCGGCCAGGCCCGGCTCCGGTGCTGACCCCGAGGGCTGCAGCAACACCCCAGGCCTTTCCTGCCTGGTGGCCCAGAGCTGAGGGCACGGCTGCCCTGTGCCCCTGATGTGGGACGTGGCACAGAGATATGTGCCTGGTTGGACATCTCTGCACCCGGCTTTTCCAAAGCCTTCCACGCCCAAAGTGCCTCCCCCGTGGCAGATGGAGACGGGAGCACGTGGAGCTACGGGACGTCGGAGCCCAGGGCACTGCAAGGGATGATCGGGAAGTGGCTGGTGGAGCCTGTGGGACCTGCCAGAGGCGTGCACGGACCTGGTGCCGAGGCCAGGGCAGAACCCAGCAGCATCCCCACTTCCCCCCTCCCCACGTGCCACTCTGGGTGCGGGGCCCATCCCGGCTGCCACCAGAGCCCTGCCCAGCACGTGGGGTCGTGACACGTGTGCCGAGCAGCCAGACCCCGGTGCGTGGGCCGCCTCCATCTGGCGCTCCTGAACTGCAGGCACCGCTTCCGATTAAGGCAAGTTTGAATGCAACTTGCTCATTGAAAAGGGCTGGGCGGGTGCCCCATGGCGCGTGGCGCCGCATTGGCATGTCAGTAGGTCCCCAGCGCAGGTTCGTGTCCTCTGCGTAAGGAAGTAGCTGGTAGCAGTAGAAAGCTGTTCTCCTCTGCATGGACCTGGTGCTGGGCAGGGGTGAGCTGTGCCTGGTGTCGGCAGGTTTTGCAGCTGCTGCCTTGGCAGCAGAGGGATGATGAGATGGGGGATGTGGGTGCCAGGCAGGTCCAGGCTGCATAGGGGCTGTGTGCACCGGTAGCAGCCCCGGCGTCACTGTCACCTGCACCAAAGTCTCACTGCACTGAGCGGCTCCTCTGCTCCTGGCTCCCCACGTACCCCGGCTCCAGCTCCTAGCCCTTCTCCCCTGCAGCTCCTGCCCCGTGCCCTGGCCCAGCACCTTTCCCTCTCCCCCAGTCGTGCCCTCTGCGCTGCGGCCAGGTGGGTCCCTCCTTGCCCTCCAGCAAGGGGACCGCAGAGAGGGCAATGGAGAGGCTTCTTGCCAGGAAGAGCCCTCACTCAGCCCCGGGGATGGCGGCTGTGCCCAGGCGGGAGCTGTGCAGGGCTCTGTGCCACCCTCTGCACATCTCTGTGCCTGTGCAAGTGGGCACTCCAGGGCTGATTGCATGCCCAGTTTCCGCAGGCCTGGCTGACCGCACGGCCCTGACCCTAGAGTGACCCCTGCCATGGGTCAGTGCCTGTCCAGAGCCGAGAGGGGCTAGACGAGAGCATGGTTGTCACGTGAGCAGGGTGAAGCTGCAGGGTCTGTCCCTGAGCGGGTGCTCTGCTTTGCTCCCCATGCAGACGTCCAGTTTGTGCCATGCAGATGCTGCAATTGGGGCCCTGGCAATGCCCACGGGACAGTCGGACCCCTCTCCGTGTGCGGCCTCCTGCTCCTGTTGTGACAGGGTCCCGCCTGCCGCACACTGCCTGTGTCCTGGCGTTCCCCAGCACTTCCCGGCTGCATCAGCTGGTGTTGTGGGGGGTTCGCTTCTCACCCCCTTCCCAGACCACGTCCACACCAGCGCTGGGTCCAGGGGGTCGTTCTCCAGCCCTTGGACCTGTCTCAGCTGGTGCTGGGGCTGTGCCAGCACTTTGCCTTTGACTCTCGCTCTCTTGAGGGTTTCTCAGGGAAAGCTGTTACGAAGGGACTTGGGAGTTCGCGTGGATGATGATAAAACTCACAGGCTGGTAAGAGCATCTCTGAGCAGTTACTGTCTCCAGCACCTGGCAGCAGCTCCGGAGCACTCCTGTGAACTGGGGAAACTGGAAGGATTGGGAACAAGTGGATGGAGGGAGCCAGTGCTCAGGCCAGGGCAGGGCACCTGCTCCAGGGGTCTGGACTGTCTCCTGCAGCAATGCACTGGGTTAATGGCCTGGCTGGTGGCTGGCGGTCTCTCGGCCTGAT